CCAAGTCCAAGCATTAGATCAGTCCACACATCAGTTTGGCCAGCATGTGTGTAGGTACATGAGGATGCACCAGTGAACCTATCATGTACATGTACAGTACATGTCCAGTATGTAGCCTTCTTGGTTGATATGTGTGTACATACATGTAGTCAGCACTCCCATGACAAGAGCCGTGACCACAGGCGTCCAGGATTTTTTCCAGGTGGGGCCTATGGATAAGCACTTAGCAGCAGCAAACTAATAAACCATTCACAGTTGAATGGAGTCAACTCTGACGTTTATTCAAGCAAATTAGTGCATTGTGTCCCCTTTCCTCTCTCTTCCTTTTTCCCCTTTATAAGTTTTTCTTTTGGGGGCAACCCCCACGATGCCCATGACCATATACTGTTACAGGTGGCAGTGTTTGTCAAAGAAACTGCACAAAACGAAAATAATGCTTTTGGCTGTGAACCATAATGTACCCGTACATGTGTGGTTCTTGTCACGGCTCTTTTGTCGCCCAAGTACATGGGAACTATGCAGCTGTAGGTCTACAAGATCATTATTATCTGTTATGTCCATGGCTTCAAAAGTGGTTGATGGAGGGAGTATTCTTTTGACATCAGAGGAATCAGACTGTGCTTGCATGTACGCACAGCACACACACATGTACTCAGGGGCTTAGCGGGAGGGGGGGTCCCCCAATATTAATTCCAATATTAATTCCAGCTTCTTTGGCAAAATTAATCCAAAATAAATACATGAACAATGTTTGTTTCCCTGAATCATGAAACATGTTATGTACCAGGGATCACTCCGTGAATTTCACACGACTCAAGTTTGGCAAACAAGTTCCAAGTTGGCGTATTGGCGAAAATTCCTATGCCACTGCACATACTACCATGCAGGAGTAGTGCAGCAGAGAGGAGATTACCTACATGTACATGTATACCTATCATTCAAAGCTGTATGCAAGTGTTGAGGGTCCTATCGGCTTCTTATATAGATAAAAAGTTTGGTTCCAGAGCCTATTGCATGTTTGCAGTGGGCATATGCACAGTCGACTGTCCGTAATATGAGCTCGGGTAAGATGAGATTCTTGTTAAGACAAGCATATTTTGCCAGTCTTGACCAAAGTATGTACATTGATTCCTATTAGGAAAAAATCTTTAAGATGAGCTTCAGTACAAGATTTTCATTTCTTCCAGTGCAGTTGAATGCAGATGTTTAGAATAAACACTTTGAAAACAGCTCCTCAGTCAACAAACCCATTCAATAAACAATGATGGACAATGGGCGTTTGCGATTCCCAGGCCATCACAGGGCCCGATCAGAACAAACTCGTTACAAACTCCCCAGCAAAACATGAAAAAGAGAATAGAAAAATGCTCCTACCCAACTTAGAAACTAATGTAAAATTCATTTGTCATTAAAATCTGTTCTTCTCTTACCCGTAAATGTCCCTTGGTAGTCAACTTTTGGAGTTCTAAATCCCAAAAGTAAAATAAAAATACTTGATTTCCTAGCACAACATTCCCTAGGCCAAGCATTACCCCCACCTGCGCCCTCTATTGTCCACCCAAAAATTCACCAGTTTCCTTCACTTTGTACATGTATAAAATTATGGTCACCAACTAAATGTTAATGTACTTACATATGGTGATGAGTCTGCTTGCCCAGTTGTTGCATTTTATTAATTTTCCCCTTCGTTCTTCTGAATACGGGCGATTCAAAACAGTGCGCCTCCGAGAGTTTGCTACGCATTGGCCAATCACAACGTGTGGAATCTGTCAACCCTTTCCAAACCCGCATTGGGTCGACCGATTTCATGCATCGTGATTGGCCAACGCGTTGCAAACTCTTGGAGGCGCACCATTGTGAATCGACCGTATTGTAATACATTATCTTTAAATCTTTATTTAATCTCCATGTACATTCCACTTTCATAAAGAACATTTTTGAACTGTTTTAAAGGAAATTCATTACCCTTCAATCGTAGTATGATTGACAAACGACACATACATGCATATGCACAAGTGAGAAAGTACTTTTTGCTTAAGACAAGTTTCTTGATAATACGACATAATAAAGGAAGTCCTGAGGCCTTTGTGTTAATAAGAGTCAACTGTACTATACATTTCATTCGTAAGGAATATTCAGTTGTCCAGCTTGGTGTTTTTCATTTTTCAGTGCATTGGTGTAATCTCTAGCACAACAACTAATTATTTTGGAAACCAAGTGGTCTCATGATGGCAACATTAAAGTTGCTTTGGACAGCTGAATGCTCCTTGTGTACGTGTATGTTGCAACTCCCTGTGTATGGCTCTTGCATCAAATCAGGGTAAAAAATGCATTACACACATGTATCAGCAACATTCACCTGAATGTGTACATGTGTGAACCCATCACAAATCAGTAACTTTCCCCTGAATGGGTACAAACTCATGGTACATGTATGTTGGTAACTTTCACCTGACTATGTACAAAATCATGACATACATGTACATGTATGATTTCACCTGAATGTGTACAAACTCATCGCACATCAGTAACTTTTACCGGAATGCGTACAGCAAACTCATATGGTATAGATATCAATTATTTTCTTGAGAATGTGCACAATCTCACTATATTTCACATGGGCATCGAACATGTACATGTATCATGTGCGTATGTCACTGTTGAGGAGCTTTTTCAGAGGTGCACACACAGAGAGTCTGAGCATGTCAAGAGAAGATCACATCTTACGCGAGGTCCTCCTGCAGTACATAGCAGGATTTCAAACTTTTGAAAATTTTCAAATGCAGTGGGCAGTGTTCCCATATGTAGAAGTGCATGGTCTCAAACTTCCTGCCAACTTTATTAGAGCCCTTGTAAATCCCTAATGTATGTCACGTGTGATGTGTCATGATGACACCAGAGGGTACCCCAAGACTGTGCATACAAGTACATGTACAGTGTGACTGTGACTTATACATGTAGTACACACAAGATGGAGGCATTGCATGTCAAGTCACTCGAGCAAAATATACATGCACATTATGGTTGCGGTTTTTCTCTCTCATACATATACATGTACATGTATGTCTTATTTCAGTCAACACACGCTTATCCATTTCTCTGAAAAATTGGCACATTGTGTGGTAGGGTGTGAGTCAATTCAAATAATTCACTATCCAAATATTCGGTCTTACTGACTGGCAGATTGTTGATTACACCATCTATAAAATGAGTTGTAATAATGCACACAATTCTATAAAATAAGTCGTAATAATGCACACAACTGTACATTATAATTACTTTAATAGCTTCTCACGTCTAGGAGTATCTTCAGCCATGATTTAGCAAGATTTAAGAGTTGAACAATACTTCCAGCCCTGTTGAAAACTTGTATTCCTTTTAAATTTTTTCAATGATTTAATTTCAATGATTTTCAATAATTTACTTTTTGAGTCGTCATAGGATTTCTATTGCTTTTCATTTTTACCCGCGTGAAACAAGCCTCCATAGTGCATTTTTTTCTCATTTAAAACAAAAAAAAATTCTCCCTTCCCTTTCATGAATTTTTTAATTTGAATAATCAAATTCGGAAAATGATATTCAAATATTCGATAATGGATCAAATATTCGGATATTTGGCACAGCCCTATTGTGTGGTGACGGCCCATGAGGAAAATGTCTGGTAATTGTCTCCTTTGTAATAATTGGCACCTGAAGTGTCTCATCTTTACATTACGGTCTATTGCCTGACGTATGAGGAACCCATCAATTCACTACATCAAGGTTTTTTGTATGGACTTGTTTGTTGTTCCTGGCAATTAAATTTATTCATCTGGAGTTAACGAATGACAGGGTCATAAACCAAGGGTTTTCTCCGTTTGTGATGATGGCATGTAGGTTTCAGAGAGAGTGACTTCTGTTGTTGTTACCACCATAAAAGCTGAATCAACAAGGAATTTTTTACTTTTGTGAGGCTAAATTTGAGCTCTTGTGGGTTTTACATTGTAGTTTTTAGTCCAATGTTTGACTTCTCAGTTATCACAGACTGGTTAAAGTATTGTAGCTTTTATATTTGGTGATGTGTCATACACTTTCATTTCAGGTATACCATGGTGCTGTGATTTTAACGGCATGTATCGGATAATGGCAAATATACTATAATGTATTATAGTATATTACATATATGTACATTGTATGGGGATAGTTTTGACACGAGAGTGTTAAGGTTGACGTGAGAAGAGGCAAATTTTGTGAAATTAATTGAAAGTAGTTTGCAAAGCAGCATTATACAATATACATTGTAAACTTGCATTAATTGATACATTGATGAACTTTATTCATACTGTACATGTAATGTTCCTTTATTATTTGACTGGATAGCAAAAGCCTTTATTCAACTCTCATGCTGTGTCCCTCCCCCCTCAAAAAAATTGAAAAGAGGTGATGCTGGTTGTCTGCAGTTGATGCAGGCCTTTTTGGTTCTGGACACTTGGGCACCAGAAGTACCAGTATTGAAGGAGCTGCCATTTTGAAGTTACCTTAAAAGAAAATGGATATAATGCGTACCTGTATATGCAATGCCCAGTGAATTATTGGATCTTGCACATGTTGTTACGGGTAGCCAGTACAAAAGCCAACTGGAGATAGCATTGTGGGCTTGTGTTCAGTGTGTTGACACTTCCCCCAGCCCAGAATGTGACACAATACCCACATGTCAATGTCAGATGATTTGGAGGATTTTCAGGCCTTTTATTTCTATTTGATTTTTTAAGTACGTGTAGCACTATCAGACAGCTCACCTGAGTCCGAACCTAAAAGGGCAGATAACAAGTCCTGAATTACTCTAACTTCCCATTTTTATCATTGGACCCAGCATGTTACCATTATCAAAAAAATAAAAGAACATTTTGGGGGAATATTTCTATCCTATCGAGGCATAACATGGCATTGGAACAGCTGCAGCATATGATACATACATGTACAAGCATGTTTTCATGTTTTTATGTATGTATTATTTATAGGTCGCAACGAACTCATTGCAAGGTACATTAAGCTAAGAACGGGAAAGACGAGAACAAGGAAGCAGGTAAGCCTCAATCAGGCATTTTTGTCTATGGCTTGGTATTGTCTTGACGGAGTATTAATGATTAAAATCCTGAAGCCATAGCCAGAAGTGCCACATTTGAAACATGTCCTTGATCTTTATTATTGCACTTCGTTTGTTTCTTTAATTGCACCTGTGCACATGTAGTGCCTAACCTGTTCCATTAAGTGTACTTAGAGTGCATACAATCCTAACCAAAACACCAGAAGACACAAAGGAACTATTGAAATAAAAGAAGAATTAAAGTAGATATGATAATTGTTGAAAATGCCGCTTGCATTATTTAGAGGAAAGAACTTCTGTCATGAATGATACAAGTTGCACTGACATGGAGTTGAGTGTTCATGAACAGCCCAAAGTCTTTCCAGAGCAAAGCACTACAAAAGTGACCAAAGTGGACCTTGATAGACTTCACCACCTGTCAAATCCCCAGCAGTGGTTTGATTTGTTCCTTACAGCTCCTCCCGCTAGCAGATTTTTTTTGTTTTGTTTCATTTTCTTTCAAACATGTTGGCATATCACCTCTTCACCTGTATTTTTTTCTCTTTTTTGCCAATTAAAGAGGTGTCTTTTTCAATCAGACATTACCATATTTAAATCCAAATGTGTCTACCTGGTATTAAAATTTTTTCAGTATTTGTGACCTTTTCCCAAAAAGTGATATTTGTTTTCTCTTGTTGAATTCAACATTTTAAATAAAAATCACACTCCGTTCTGTTTATGCTGAACGTAACTTTATAATCTCATTTTACTTTGTTTCATTCTGTGCTATATTTGTGTTGAAAAGTATTTTCCTTTCTTGTTATGTGCATGCATTATAACCATAACCCTACTCATGGTTTCCCTGGATACGTTTATGAGCCACCAGAAAGCAAAGGCACAATTGTACTTGCGTGCACAATCTGAAGTTTTATCGAAGCTGAATGTGGTGCAACAAATGATTTCAAATTGGAGCTTCATTTTCCAGAGATTTTTGATGTGGGTGTTTGATAATAGAAACATGGGCCGGGGTTGAAACTACTTGTCTTATGAATCACTAAAGGCTGGTTCCATGAACTACATGTAGGTACATGTACGTTTGTGACTTGTTTTTGCTGGTAGATTGCTAACAGTGGCATAACTAAGGGGGTGCATGGGGGACATCCCCCCCTGCGCCCCCCTTGTGTTCCCCCTAGCAAAGGAAAAAATGTAATGAGAGTCCACCTTGGTCAGTGTTTTACCTGTCACTCCTTAAGAACAAGGCAGTTAAGATCCTAACATGCTGCCTTAAGTGCCCTCTAGAAAAATGAGAGCCCCGAAGTGTCCCTACAAATGTACCCCAGTTATGCCACTGACTGCGTGATATGAACAGCTAAAAACACAAGTAAGGTTTGAAGCTTTGCATGCTGGAAGATATCCAGAGAGATGGTTTTCGGGTGCTGCATGTGAAATCAATCTCTTCTTTTAGAGTCGTGGTTCTGAGGAGAACCGGTGAGTGTGAACTTGACGTATCCATGTGGTGTACCAGCAAACCTTCTCTCTGCACAGACACAAGGTTTTCCAGGAACTTTCCGTGGAGAGTTTTAGAGTGCAAAATTAAAGTACGGATGTGCCAGGGTGACCATTGTGAACCCAGAGTATTTGTCGAAAAACCCTCAGTTATTTTTACACTTTGCTCGATGTACATCAATGTACATGTATGCAATGTTTTTGTTGTTCTAAGCATTGTGATTTATGTCTGTTAAACAATTTACTTTGAAGTGTTTTTAGTTTATAATTTAGTGTTCTGTCCATTCCATGTGCTTTTGAAAACATCTGTTCTGCTGTTAAAATGCCCTGGAGTTGAACTGCATAATGACCTCATAGCAAGTGTCAGCAAGGGTTAATTTACAATCAGTGATCTTCCAGCCGTAAAGCAAGAAATTTCCAAAATGGACAACCACAGCCCAGCCAATTTTCTTAATTGTGAACCCTCACATGTCTGGTTTTTGCCGTAGTATTGCCGCTAAGAACTGTCTTAAACATCCTTGAGGGTGCACCTCTATGAAATAAGCAGCTACATGTAAATGTAGCGCTGTGATCTGCCATTGATCATTGGCATCTTGAACTCTGGCAGTCTTCACACATGGACATTGTTTTCAAAGTCACATGACCTGGCCTGTGCATTAATTTTTACAAGCATGGCAAGTTCATCTCTATTTTTTTTCCCTTTTCTTTTTTAATTTTGTTTTCATTTAGCATTATCCCTCTCCGAGCTAACACCTGCATTGTGCCTGAACCCCTTCCAGTATTTATCAAGAAAGCCGTCTTTTGATTTCACAGATGATAGCGCCCCCACCCATCCATGACCAAAATTTATTTTGTTAATTATTTTGCCTGTCTGTGTTACATTTCATCATGGTAGCACCTTTGCTGCGCACCTTTTTGCCTCACTACATTTGTATTATGCAGCATGACTATTTTTTTGTGTCTGACCTGTTTTAATATAAGACTAAAATGAAGCAAGACTAAAAATTTTTATGTTTATCAGTTCAAAATTTGGCTGCACAAGCATGTGTAACAAGGTACTGGTTGCACTGTAAACTTCGATCCTCCACTTTTGTATCAAACAGCTGAAAGACAAAGCAAGCCATTTTTAAGTTTAACCATTAAGTGCTGTTTTTTTTTAATTTTCTGCCTATACCCACTGAAGTACTCAAAAGAAAAGGAGAGATTTGTAATAACTGCATGTCAGTGTACTTGAGTTTTGGCAAAAAAGAGATTGTGCAGTTTAAACAGCACACTGAGCAAAACGCAAGGCTCCTGTATCAGTACAACAATTTACAACTTTATTGAACTACATTCTGTTTCTGATTGACAGCACAAGGTCTCTGCTTCATTCAATCTAGTGTGATTGCCTTTTTTCAATCAAAACTCACACGTACCGTGTAGAGATACAGAAGGACACAAATAGTTCCTTTCCCAAAATGAAATAAGCACTCGTACATCCAAAGCAATCCACACCTTCACCCAGCAAACAAAGGTGCACTGATGTGACTATTCTGAGATGTGCCAGTTGCCTACTGGCCAAACTGTGAAAGTAGGCTTTCCTACAAAATGCCTCAACTGGAGAAGGAAAATAAATAAAAAAGAAAATGGGAGTTTGAGAACGGATGACTCCATCTGTGAATGTGTGTATCTGTGCATTACCCACAGGTGTCCAGTCACATTCAGGTGTTAGCTCGGAGAAAATCAAGGGAACTTCAGTCATTATGCAAGGTAGGGCCCAATAGATATGCTTGTCAAAGGCACAAACAAAAATCACCCCTAGTATTAACCAGGCTCGTTCCGGGCCTTTTCCCCCTTTTTTGTTTCACCTTCAACCCCGATTTGTTTGTCTGAGCAGGTGTCTAGTCATATGCAGGTCCTTGCCAAGCGATCGTCAAGGGATATTGCCAAGCAGTTTAAGGTATGGTCTGCAACAGTGTAACCACAGTGAGCGGAAACTTGCGGGGCGTGGTTCAGATTAAATCTTTAAGGGAATCAATTTTTAAAAGCTATATCACAGATCAACTGAATGGAAGTGCAGTTGTCTCTGTGTAAAGGTCTCAGGGGGCTGCTGTCCCAGTCTCAACGACCCCACTGACAAAAGTGAACTAGTCACAGGTTTAAAAGACCTTACATGTACATGTAGGTTTGACAGAACAACTGTCATAGGCTTGTTGAGGCCATTGCAGTCCAGTCATGAGCAAATCACAAAACCAGTTTGCAGGTTTGCTCAAGCAAATTGTGAGTCTGTTCACAAGGCAAATCACAAGGAACAGGGGATGAATGAGAACAAAGGAGACGTGATTTGCCACAGTTCACTAGAGCAACTTGTAGCTTGGGTGGAACTGAATGACTTGTAAAGGACTTTTGAGGACATGTGATGGACCTGTGAGGATGTGTGATAGACTTGTGAGGACTCGCCTACAACACTTACTGCTGTTTGTTGTAGGTTGTTGCCTGATGTAATTTCAGTTGGATACAGATGCACTTCCATGCTGTTTGTAAAGCCATCAAATTTCCCGCTAATTTTGTCGAATGGGTAGCTTAATGGTGCATCAGAAAACCAGACCATTTTGAAAAGTGTAGCAAAGTGCTGGAGGGGTTGTTCAAAGGAGCTACAGTATATTATATGCATGTTCAGATTTTTCCGTAAACCTGAATTACTTGCAATGACATGTAGTTGTTAGACCTCCTGCCAGAGAAGCTATGAAATACAGGATTTGCCTTGGGTTGTTGAGACCTTGAAGTCTTCACTTGCCCCCATGCTAGTCAAGACAGCAAACAAACAAAAAAGTGCGATTAGATGTTTGGTGTCATCCTCTTAATTGGAAAGGCAGAGTTGTTTCTCAATATTTTTGCCATTTTTTTTTTATGCATTGGTACCAGCCACTTCAAAAAGTTACCTAGTGCACACACTCTTTTCAGATCTTGTGCGCTCTTTCCCATTAAACACTTTTTCCTTTCCTTCATTCTGACCCAGTCCCTGGAAATCTGCCATTTTATTCTCACTTTTATTTTGGTCTCACCCATGTGAACCTTCAGAATTGGCAGTTGGCCAATAAATCAAGATCTTTCATGGGTCAGAGTTCATCAACTTGTTTTGTCATTGTCTTCTCTTTTATCGTAATCTTCTCTTTTTCATTGACCTGTGCTCAAGCTCTAATCGAGTCAAATTTTCTGTCTCCCTAACAATTCAACTTAACTCTTTCCCTTCTTGCCTGTTTTTCCATTTCTTTTTCTTGCCATTGTCATCAGGCGCAGACATACAAGTCTGACCATATCAGCAATGCGCTTTGAACTTTATCGGTTTCATTGTTCATACATTTGCGACAGATTGAATAGCATCAAAATAACATCAAAAGTATCTGAGAAAAAAATAGAAAACCTCTGGTACTGGATCTGTAGATAATATTTGTTGGAAGGCCAAAATGGGCTCTATTTGGTGTATGCTCAAATCGACAACTACCTTATAATGTTCTTGTGAAATTGGTTTAATTTCAAACCTCCCCTTCCTTTGCCCCTTCCCACTTTCTATCTCATCATCGCATCCTTAATCTCCTTTCTTCCTCTCTCATAAGGGGCAGCCTTCGGACTCATGCTACCCCCGCTCTTACCTTGATCAGGAATCTTTTTTCGCACTTGTAAGTAAAACCGTATCAGATGTCTCCACTACCCTGACAATTTGCAACACGCCAAGATTGTCATTTACTGATCCCAAAAAACTTGCACCGATTTGTTCAGCATGAGTTTTGGAATGCTTTTACATTAGATGTTAGCCGTTCAATTCTTGACAGATTGGGTATGTTTTGTGGGAGGGAAATGCACGCCTGCCTATTGCTGCGTAGTATTCTACTAATTCAGGAGAGTTTTCCTGCAGATACAGGAGGAATATGTGATCACTGGTGTGCAGTGTGCATGAAAACCGGTCCATCAAAAGGGCCAGTGTTGGTATGATTTGATGTTCACTCTACTCTGAAACATTTTTAATTGCATTTGAAATTGGATAGCAATCATTGAAGTTGTAAGGTCATTGGACATAAAGTTCAAGAATAATATTTTTGTGTTTGTGTTCACTTATCATTTCTGCAGTAGTTAAGCCCCTTTTCTTGCTTTTAGACATGCCCTAAATCTTTTTTTTTTCTTACCTAACATTTGCTCACTTGTAGACAAGCGATCACGTGGCTGGTACCTTTGCATCTGTGTGTACTTGTAACGGTTACTCATTTTTAGAAGTTTTTTATTTCAAGACATGAAATTGCTTCCATGTGTAACCATGCTAATCTGGTAAAAGTGGAGACTACCTGTATTGTCCGTCCAACAAGGAGGTTTCTTAAATTGGCATTAAGTGTTCTGCATTAAAGATAGATGCTTGAAGTACATGTAGGATAGAAGCTGCACCAATCTTTTACAACGTGCGTTCTCATTTTTGTGGTGGTGTAGTCGCTGAAAGAGTGAATCAAGGGTCTACATGGTTTAGAGTGAAAATCCCTCTGAATTGAAAGAGTTCGGAAAAGAACCTCTTCCAGAGGATACTCAAGTGAAATCCTAATTAAATCAATATCACTCAAGTTTGTCTCGCCCGGTTTCAGTCAAATTTTTGCTCTTGAATTCAGAGAGTATTAACACACTAGAGAAACTAGGCTCGACTATCTTTCTTTTGCATCATTGTTTTTACCTTCACTCCGTTTTTGCTTACCTTTTTGCTACCCCCACCACCCCATCATTACCTCCCTTCGCCACTTTCCTGACGGTCTTCTGGCCACCAGCAGGACCAGAGCACCAAGGACAAAGCCCTGCAGAGTATGGCGGCCATGTCGTCAGCGCAGATCGTCTCAGCTACGGCCATCCACAACAAGGCTGCTGCCATGGGCATAGCTGGGCTGGGCATACCGGGGGCGACCCCGCTGCGTCCACCCTATCCCGCGCATGTGAGTGTCATTGCTTGTGTCAGTCTGCCCCTTCCCTATGTGGTGTAATCACAGGGGCAAGTGTCCCTCCAGCTGTAAGCCCCACCAGTTGCTAAGTATTTGAAATTTTGAAATGTGCACAGCTTGTGTACAGGCCACAAATTATTTGCCTTTAGTGCCCCCTTGAAAAAAATTTGAACAACTTCAGGTGCCTGTCAAAATGTCACCCTAAAGCCACTGTGTTTCCCTCCCCTATACTGGGGATTGTTGCTTGCGAACATGTTAAAATCCCCACCACTTGACTCGGCATTTGTGCCATGAGAATGTAAGTCATTAAGAGTTTGGTTGATCCTTTACATGTGTATGTGTATATTATACCAGGGTAATCACAGATCCGACTATGGCTGACCAACACATGTAATAGTTTATTGGATTTGTCAAGTGTGGGAAGTGTTTTATCAGAATCACAAAGCAAGAAGTGCATGTACTTTCTTTGGTCCTGAATTTACTGGCGGTGGAAATGGGTGGGGGGGCCACTGCCCCCCTTGCTTTTCAACTTTGGCAAGTGGCTTGCCCACTTTTGGCCAGTCCTTAAATGGCAGGTGTCTGATAATCTCACAAATGCCTCCCCCCCTTCAAAATCCCTTCGCCCACGTCACGTGCAATCTTTGTTTATTCATAAACTTCTTTGTATGAATTTTAAGGCAATTTTGGCCACTTTTTTCTCCCCTTTTTTCAGCAACTGTGGCAGCCAGGCCTGACACAAGCAGGTACCTCGCAAGAGTAAGTGTAAAGGCAGTTCCTCCTTCGAACCGTTAGATTGCCCTTTTTTTGGAATGTGACACATTGAATGCAATGAGGGTTCAAACAAATTTCAGTCTTTGCAGTCTCTGCTGCAACCTCACAAGGGACAGGTGTATTTGGGGGTGGGAGGTGGGGTTGTACATTCAGATTTGAACACAACAATAAAATGGAAACCATTGATTGACCACTTTGTATAGTTGGTGTTGGGAGGTTTTGTTTGATAGGGCTTGGATTTGGTTATCAGAGACTATCACTCTGTTTTGTTGTTTCATTCCCTCCTTCACTTGGCTCCCACCCCCCCTTTCATTCATCTCCCACCCTTTCCTCCACATTTTACGCAAGCCTCTCCAGGTGTGCACAAGAGACAGATATATATTCTTATTATAAACAAATGTATTTATATTTGGTTTGTTTCTCCCCCCCCCTTCCAAATTCCTACCAGTGTCAAGCCGTTCTCGGCGACGGCTCAAGCCTATGCACCTGGCGGGGAGTACGCGGCGGGGATGACCCCCGGGGGTCCCCCGGCCTGGGAGGGCCGGTCCATTGGCACTCGCAAGCTGCGGCTGGTGGAGTTCCAGGCCTTCCTGGAGCTGCAGCGAGACCCAGAGAGTGTAAGTGAGGTTTGTATTCTTCCCTTTCTTTTGTTTCTTGGTCTGCAACATTATGATTAGTTATTAATGTCATTTTCCCTCAACATCGCAGTCCCAGAGTTGTGTGAAGTTTTCTTACCATCGGGGGCATTGTTATGGTGTCATTTTAGTTTGAGATTGTCTGCATGTTTTAAAAACATAAAGAACCAACATTATCTTATGCTGCTGTGCCAGTAGCACTCAGAAACGGTATCTCATAGGCGTTCCTGTAATCAATGTAATGAACATTTGTTAGAAATGTATGTTGTCATAATGTAGCTTTGCCCACATTGCTGCAGAAATTCTTCACAAAACTTTTGTCTAATTACCTCAATCATCCGAGTAATATGCTACTTTTTTGTTACACTTTCTTTTTAATCGCTACAGTACAGCAAGCATCTCTTTGTTCACCTTGGCTCAAATGTCAGCTATTCAGACCCACTGCTTGAGGTATGTGACTTGCAACGGTCAAAGCCAAACAAAGGTGTTGAATTAAGTGCATTGTTTTTAAACATGTTTACATGTCTTGTCCTGCTGTTGGTGCTTCAAGTGAACAATTACTGCAGTGAGGATTTGTCAGTGCAGGCCCAAGAATGTTAGACATAGTTGGTTATCTGTGGTAAAAGGGTCAGTTTTATTTACATCTTGATCTCAGGCAGTTGATGTTCGTCAGATCTACGACAAATTCCCCGAGAAGAAGGGGGGTCTGAAGGAGCTGTACGATAAAGGCCCTGCAGAAGCATTCTTTCTGGTCAAATTCTGGGTAAGATGACTGCATTTTTTAATACCCTGTGCAGTTTAGCCCACTATCAAAGAATTACCTGGTCTCCATATCTCATGCTTGTGCTGAGACTGTTAGATCATTTAATCCTTCATTTATGTGGGAATAATTGCTTATTCATTAACAAAAATATATTTAGTGTCTATTGTCATTTTGTGTGGTGGTCTTTGTTTCCTGGACTTGCCCAATTTCCCCCATAATAAGTTGGATTTCTTTTTTCTCTCGCAGGCGGACCTCAACACAAATCTTTCAGAGGAAACGGGTGCATTCTACGGTGTCACAAGCCAGTAAGTGCTGCTTAGTTGGTATCAAAAAAAATTTGAAAACAAAACCTCCTTAGAGGACCTCACATGTGGGGCTTATCTGAGGTGACGTCACTACTGCGACCGCACCTCGCACACATGATGAAACTTGACTCATCCCTGCCTCACGGCAAGTCACAACTCGGTCTTAGTTGAAGAGGCCCGTTTGAGCATTATGACACTGCAGTGATGAGCTCTTACTCCAGTCTCTGAATCAGTTCGTAGGTTGTGGTTGTCTGTGCCATGCTTGTTAGGGATTAATTGCGTCTTCTAATCTTGACTTGGGGCTAGTAATGTCGAGTCTTTCAGAGGTTTTTTCTTTCTTTTAGGAAGCAGTTTTCTCAAAGTAGTTTTAATCTTCCTCCACTCCCCCTTTTTTTTTTACAGATATGAGAGTCCAGATAACATGACAATCATGTGCTCAACAAAAGTGTGTTCCTTTGGCAAGCAGGTTGTGGAAAAGGTTGAGGTAAGGGGTCACCGTGAACTTCAAATTTGCAATATGGTTTTCAGATTCATTGTGAATATAATGTAAAACATTGCCAAAGCACAACTAGATCGTGATAAAGTGAACATCTAGGATGCCATTCAATGTATTTTTACTGAAGGTTCTGCTGGTGGCTATTCAGATGACCCTCTCCAAGAAATCATGTGAGCATTGACTGCAGCAGAGCCTTTGAAAACAGATTGTATGCCATTTTTTTCTGCCAAACTTTCCAAGTGGTCCCTTCAAGCCTTATTTCTGAATATTTGCATTGCTCACTCTCCTCCCACCAGACGGAGTATGCCAGGTTTGAGAACGGCCGGTTCGTCTACCGCATCCACCCCTCACCCATGTGTGAGTACATGATCAACTTCATCCACAAGCTCAAGCACCTCCCCGAAAAGTACATGATGAACAGTGTGCTGGAGAACTTCACCATTCTGCAGGTCAGTAAGGGGGGGTCTAAGATGGAAGGTTTTAAATATCCGGAGACAGGCGGATCGCAAAGTGGGGGAGGAGGCCCCTACCAGCGAGCAGTTGGACCCGATCTGCAAAAACCATAAACATTAAAAATAAACTGTTGCTCTTAAAATGTGCCCCCTATCTGGTACTTTGGCCTCTCCTTTCACCTTAAGCTGGGGATAGGGCTGTCCAGAGGGTCTCTTCACCATCCCACACCCCAGTCCCTCACCCCGGTCAGTGACTCATTCAACCCATTCATGAGCTACTCATGTATAACATGGTCTGAACTGGGTCATATTTGGTTTCTTCCTTTTTGTTCAGACATAGACATATGCTATTGTTCAGACATAGACATGTAAGCAAAGAGATGCCAATGATACTGTGAAGCTGCCAGGGCCAGTGAATTGGCCTCGAGTGAGAAATTGTCAGTTTGCACTTTGTTAAATCCAAATTTTAAAGGGATGGTCAATTTTTTGGTATTCAGATGAACCTCGTTTTGTGAGTCCTGTTCTACCTTAGGAGGATTCAGAATTATAAAAGATCAAGTGGATGTTCAGAGAATTCTGGACATTCCAAGGAAGTTTCCTTCCGAAATTACCAAGGAAATCTAGTATTTTAAGCAACGCTTGAAATAGTGCCTAAATCAGTCACAAGTGCGACCCAATTTTTGCTAATGCTATCATATTTTCACCATACAGTCGCTATTTGCGACTTAAGATAGCTTAAAAACTACATACTGTATTCGAACAATCTTGAGTATGCTTAATTAAGGAAATTCCAGAGCAATGATTATGTTCTCAAAATTCGTTCTGGAAAAGCAGAAATAGCAGTGCAAGTCACATCTTAGATTTAAAGCTTGCCGTGTGCGCTGTACATGTACGCATACGATAATGTATATGTGTTGCGATCACAGGCATGTGTTGGTTGGTTCCCGATCTAAACATACGTTTTTGATGCACTGTATACGGACACCAGGGCCATTTTACAAACCATGGAATGGGTTCCATTTTGTTGCTGCAATGTAAATCAAACCCGAAATGGAACTTATGCCTGAATTAAAGGGTGTGATTGCACTGTGATTTAGAGTGTCGGAAATAGCACCATTTATGCAGCAGGGTGTCCTGCGACATGCTGAAACTGTGGACGTCATAACGTCCGTGGCTGAACTCCTTGGCAAGAACCCTGATTTTGTGGATTGACCTTATCGGCGCTCGTGTACACACATGCAAGTTGTGTAGTGTGCGTGTGCCGGGCCACGTCGGGTCATGATTCTACGGCATGGATGGACGATGTAAACACAGGGTATTTGTGCTACATGTGTGTACGTACATTCATGAATATTCAGCGCATGTGATTACTAAACTTTTATAAAAGTGCTGGCGCCTAGATTTTTCCCAATTAGGAGCCAATGGCTACCAAATAATTTTTTTTCTGTTTAAAAGGTTGATTTTAAGATGCTTTTATATCCATGCATTCAAACAGGTTGTCACCAACAGAGAAACGCAGGAAACGTTACTATGCATCGCCTATGTCTTTGAGGTCTCAACGAGCGAGCACGGAGCACAGCACCACATCTACCGGCTGGTCAAGGACTGACACCCCCACCTCCTCCGCAACGCCCACACCCACAAACACCACCTTGCAGCCAGAAACCCGGGTGGGACTTGGAGGGATTAAATTCACCAAGTGTACGCGGGTCAACTGACTTTGAGTTTTTTTCAACAAATCAAAAAAGGATCGCAATGGTTGGGGGCGATGGCCCAAAATGGAGAAGATCTTTGTATTACCTGAATAGCGTTGACAAACATTTCAGTTGTTTGCCATTGTCAGCTCGGTATACACATGACAATTGTCCTTCAGTTCTGACTTACGCAAACAAGACCTCGAACAAATTAAGCTTGCTGTCTCCAAAAAACCATAAGCGTTAGATCAATCCTTGCAAGAACAATAATGATCACAGCTGGATTTACGTTCCATTGCTTGTAGTGGAATTTGACTTCAGGTCTTATGCTGGCAATAGCTTGTACGCATTTGTGTATAGGTCAAACTTTCTTGTCAAAGGAATCCGTACACAGCCCTGCCACCCTCTGCCTTTGTACCAGTGTATCCCTACAACTGATCCGGCCATAGCTTTCATTTTTCTGTAGTGGCTGTTGTACTAAACTGGTGCTCTGCAGCACGGCAGCACATTTAATGTCTTCTCTATCTTGGGCTCTGGGCAGCCGGTTGAGTGACCAGTTGCCCGCCGAATGCACCCACCGTATCGAAAGATCCCCCAGCCTGTGATTGGATAAACTAAAATGGGTCATGTTTTGGAGGGAAGTTGGCTTGTGGGTCGTTCTGTCTTTGTCTGTGTTTTCTTTTTAAATAATATTATATATTATATAAATATATATAAGTATAAATATGTCAAGTGCCTCAACAGTTGAATGTTTGTCAACAGTCCTGTGACAATGCGGTGCTTACTTGGTTTGTAGAGAGAGGGCGAGTATCAAAACACCAAAGAACTTGGCAGAATTCCCTTGGAAAGATCTTGAGTGGGCAATGCTGAAAAAACCACATCTTCTCTCAATCTTTTTTTTTGGGGGGGGTGGAAAGTAGTATGACCAGCAAGATAAGAGAATTGTCAAGCCAGGTTTTACCCCAAGTTTTTATTTAATTTTTTTTCCTGATTTTAATGGGGGAAACTTGTCATTAGGCAGTTTTCCAGGCTTGAAATGTAGATCGCAATTTTAGATTTTTTTGTGTTGGCCATTTACTCACTGCTTCTCAGTTGGCTTTCCAAGAACATTGAAGCTGTATTTTAAAATCGTCCACTCACTTTTCCTGTTGTACATAAGAGAATGCTGAAAGTGCTTAAGCCTGAACCCAGTGTTAATCATAGAGAATCTCAGTGCATTTTGTATGGTTAGGATTAAGGCATACTAATCAGGAAACTTTGACAGCATTGCTTTTTCAAGTGAGTGCCCGGTAGCTTGCCAAGGACTCCCCCTCTATGCACAACCTGTACAGATTTTTAACGATTAAAGAAAGCTCTATGGATAGATTTCTATGTGTATAGTCGTGGGGGGGACTTTTTTCTTCATCCCTCATGAAAATGTGCCTTCATACTGGTGTATGAAATTTTTTGTTTCCTCCATATGAAATATGAAAAAAAAAATTGATTGTCCCTCCTGCAATCCCAAATGGATGGAAATGCTTTTCCAGTGATTTTGAAAAGGATTTTTTTTGTGGCTTTGTTGATTTGTTTGTTTTAATCATCGGGCGATTTGGGAGAAATATTACATCCTAATGATGTAATTGAATGAAGGTTTGCACTTGTGGGATGTTGAGACATTTAAATTAATCAGCCTCTAGAAGAGTTTTGGATTTCAACAAAATAAGAAACATTTTCGCGCAATCAGTCCCAAAAATGTATTTGTAAAAATAAAGAGTGCAAAAATATATGGCTTAATGTAAACAAAAAATGAGAACGCATGACCTGAATGGTGAAAGATAAACCTTCTCTTCTGTGCATTTCTGAAAAGTGGCTCATTGGGGAAATGTCTGAAGTATGTTATTTGGGATGAATTATTTATCATAATTTCATGAAAAACTAGGGGATATTTGAAACTTTTTTTACCAATATATATATTTTGAACAGTTTTGATACAAAGTCAGAAAGCACATATAACTTTGTACCTACTTCACTACTCAATTTTGTATAAATTATAAAGATTAGGTTTTCAGTGATTATACAGGTTTTCCAGCAGGAACTGGTGGGGAGTTTCTGTTCCTGAGATAAAAACACCATCGATGAGTATTTCAGTTGGCTTTATGAAAGTAGATGAATTTAGTTTTTCTTAATCAGAATAAGCGTGTCTTCTTTCAGTATTGTTGAAGACTAGTAGTTTTTGGCATTGCAAACTCACCCAAGTAAATGTACCTGCATGGTTTCGATGCCAATTTAAACAAAATCTAATTATCCTGTCATTGAGTTGCATTGTACCAAAACTAAATCTGATTCCTGGTCGTTTTTATGTTTTGCTTGTGAACAGGGTTGGAAAAGCGTAGTTGGTATCGGCATTTGCAGAGAAGTTCTGAAGAAAAAAGCCAATAGGTCTTGACTGAAAATATTTGTAGCATCTGCATAATTTTTAGTGGTCATTCTTTGACCCAGGTCACAAGGGGTCATTTGAAAAGAGATTGTTGAATACTGATGTTTACACTGAACTCATACATGTTGTGACAATGCCTTGTATATCTTTTGTATTCATAAACTATTGTCATCGTAGAGGTGCAGTTTAGATTCTAGCCAGTGTTTTTATAAGTATCTGTAATTTTTAAAATGTTACCATGTGTTGACACCAAGCCAACTGCAAAAAGAGGAAAAAGTAACTGGAAAACTTTTTTCAGAAAACTGAATTTTGTAAATGTTGGTTTTATTTTTATGAGACTGTGCACAGTTTCTGTGTTTCTGTCGGACTTTTGAATCATCAGTCATTTTTCTTTTTAAGCTGTCAGCCGATAGTTGAAATGTGGTTCATGTTTTACACTCGTCCTCCATTTCTCTTTACTTATTTGGTCTAAAATTAACCAATTCATCGCAACAACTGACGCTCTTCTCATCAAGTATGATCAACCAAGTCACTGCTTATTCCCATGCCCTGGTTATTCCAAAGGCCCTCAGTACCATGAGTTGCCCATCTTTTTAACTCCATTTCACAAATACTAAGGTCACCACAACTTTGTATGTCCTCTCGGTTTTACTAACATCAGAGTTGTATGGATGGTTCTGCTTAGAGACAAAGGCGCCAATTCCGTTGGCCCCCAGGGAACCCAACCCTGTGTAATTTTGGTTAAAGCCATGTTTCTGCTGGTGCGCCCTTTTGATTACAAGAATGGCACATTTGTTCAAATGACCCTTGGAAAAAATGGAAACCATGCTTTCTTTTGTTTTCTCAGGAAGGCTGTTATTAGTTTTTGTCGAGTAGAGTTATGTTGGAAGTGTGATCCTTAATTTATTATTTTTTAAGTTTTATATTGTGCCTGTTTTCTAAATTTCATTTTCTGTTTTTGATCTTCGCTGTGTTAGTACTTTAACCTGGTTTTGAAGCACAGTGACCTGGGCGGAAAAAAAATGACAGAAAAGTTACCTTTTATCCTTTAATTCTTTGAGAATGGTGAAAGTTTTTTTCATATAGAAAAACGAGGACATTTGTAATGAGGCATCTACAAACTATAATTGGACTTCATCAACAAACTGAAATCGCAGATGGTAGTCTTTTTGTGCAAGGAAGGAAAAGCTTGTGCATAAAATGTCCTCCAGGAGAAGTAATGAATGCAGTTTCTTTTATTCTAAATTGGTTTTTTTTTTTCATTTTCAGCACCCACCAAGTGCTACATTAATATGAGCTTGGGATTCTTATTCATCTTAATGCTCTCTTTTTGTATTGCCCAATTTGATCAATGAAATCCGTCCTAAAATTCAAAACATTTTCTGAAAAATCCTTTAACCAATTACCCAGCAGTTAATTTGCAGTTTTTATCTTGCATTAACTGCTGCAAGTGCTGTTATTTGTGAAATGTGAATCAACTTGTTTCTATTTCAATTGTTAACTATTCAAAATTCATTACACAGGGTGATGTATTCAAAGTAGTTGCCCATGCAGTTGTAAAAATATCCTGGCTTTAATTTTTTACATTCATGAAATTTTGCAGTAATTTAAATCAAATATAGGATGATACCTGTGATAAAGTGGCTATTTCCACAGTGCAGAGTAACTGATTTTTGCCTGGGAATCAAACCAAGATGCCTGCATTTAAACAGTGCACATTAGCAACGCCTGAAACAATTATTTTTCATGGCTGGGGCTATCAAATACAGCAAATCCATGGCAGGCACAGGTGCCATAGTTGCAAAACAGCTTATTTTTTTGCCTGTGGCTATCTTCCTCTCACTTTGGATTCAGCTCTGACTGCTAACATTTTTAAGACATCACCACATTGGCCAGAGCTTAGACACTATTTAGGTTTCAAAAATGGCTTTTTATTCCTTCATATGTGTAAAATATTTTTTTTGTGCATAATACACAGAAAATTAAATTTTGACCATTGAAAGCATATTATGCATGTTATCATTTCTTTCATTTATCAGATCCTGATTGGTAAAATTTGTTTGAGGTGGCAGTATTTTTATATGGACCATCTTTCACGGAGTTCATAAAAACCTGCAGTGAATATTTTTAATTCCATTTTATTTACAAGATACCACCAGAAAGAAAGATAATAGAAAGACAGCAAATACGTATTCCTTTAATTTTGTTAATTTTTATTCATGAAATGTTATTCAAAAGCATACATAAATGAACAAGGATGCTACGGTATGAAGTGAATGTTTAAGTATGTTATCCTGAACTATCCACTTAAAGTAATGTAACAAAAATTGAGAGGTTTATCACTTAAAATCAAATTGTAGAAAAAGTGTCATTGATGCTTAAAAAGCAAGCACAAGTGTTATTTGGGCTCAGTGTAAGTTTTGTTTAGTTTTTAAGTGAAACAGGTGATTCAAAGATGAGTATTAGCCCATCAGTTGGGGGGAATATCGATGGACAAGTGTCAGTGTCTCACTGGGTAAACTCTGACCTTTTGATCTTTGGTTCAAAATGGACAGAATGGAGGGGTGTTTCAACAGCACAAAAATGCTTGTTTTGGATAATGTACAAGGTCAACAGTTACCAGCATTAGTAACTGTATACTATATACTTCTGGTCCGGTTAACGAGACTTAGGCCCGTATTCAATTTGGGTACCTTTTGAATGTTGGCAATAAGGAACATTGCCTTTTTTAGACTCGGCCGTTTTTGATGTGCAACTTGAATAAGGGATTGGAGACACTCTGACGGCTGTTGTGTACCAGAAGAATCATTGGTGTGATCACTGCCATGACTTCAGGGAACAATACCAAAATGGCTGCACTGTCTTACTATGACAATAATCATGCATTATTAAATTGAGCTACCTTTAAAGAGAATATGCCTGTTTCTGCGCACCAGTGACATAAGCAGCTTTTTCAAAGTTTTGGCGTTACCAGTATTCACTTTCACAGCCCCATCTCCACGTTAGGAATAGACAGGTTCGGAAACCTGCTTGTTTGCGTGGCTTTTATTTATTTTCCATGGCTGCAGCTTGCTTGAATTTTGTTAATGATAAAATCAAGTTATTTAGTCAAATACACTGACAAAATAATGAAATGCAAACAGAAGCTGCCTCTGTGCACAGTAGGCTGGAAATGAGTGTTGGAGTTTTCAATTTAAAGAAGGCAAGTTACAAACAAGTGTACTTCAAAACAGTTTCAGTTACAAGCAAAACCTGTAACTGACTTATAGAATAATGTTGTGGTCTTTAATGTGACAGTTAACGAACTTATGTAGCGTTTCCAGCACCGATTATTTTGGCATTTTGCTTAGTGCACACCTCATAATGTCATTTGAGTGGTACCATTCACAACCATGGATGAAACCTTTTTCATTATACCAGTGTAGAAAAGTAAAAAAAAAAAACTTGTAAACTTGATGTGAATATGTACTACTTTCAGAGCAGCAAGAATTAAAGACAGTTTGTACTGAAAAATGAATAAATTTTTACAATTATGCCTTGAGAATAAAAGACTTCACTGCTTTATTGCACATTCAATTCAGTGTTTTTCTTGACTGCATGCTTAACAATTATGTAGACGCTGTGTTAAAGGACACAGTCTTAAAAGAACAAAAATAAACTGGTTAATGCCATAGTCGTGTAAATATTTACAGTATATACAGCCATTATATTAATGGGGATCTCAATTATATGTGCCAAAAATACACCTGTGTATGAATTTCTTGGCTATGGCTCGGAATTGCACACACCTCTACAGGAAGTGGCTGCAGCCTTTCTACCCTAGGCTTGTGTGTACATTCAAGCCACAATCAAGTAATTCAGATGTGGCGTTAATTTCTCAAACAGCCTCTTGATTGTAATAATCCGCTGTAAAAGCTCAGTTGAGTCCTGTTTTTTGTGTGTCTCAGGTTCACAACGTGAGAAACTGTTACGTGTTGTTTTCAAACTGAACTGAAATAAAAAATAACTTTCAATTCTAATGCATCCTGACCACTGCCAGAAGGAAATGCTCAAAATGTACAGAGGGGTGGCAAATGGGCTAAATTCCTTCACTTTGGGGTGCAACCAGCAGTTGGATAGAATGGCCCCTCAAAACAGGCCCCTGATGTCAAAAGCGGACACAAGCAATGTCATAATCCCTAACGGTGCGTCTGGCTTGGGTTAAACATCATGAGAGGCTGTACTTGTCATCTGCTTGGGCTTGATGCGTAGTGGAAAACTAGATTTAACTGCAGAACAAAAAAATGACCATCATTAATATCATAATGATATCCCCTTTTGGTTTTTCTAAAGGAGGTAACCTTCAGAAACTAACTGGCAGAAAAGAAGTGTACGGCCTGCCAAAATGAAATGCAACAAATCCAGCAGTAAAGAGTGCAGCCTGCTGAATCCAACTTGGAACAGAATCCAACAGCACAGTGTGTGGTCTGTAAAGCCTGCTGAAACTAACAGCAGCGCCCTCTATACTTCATCAAAGTCAAGAAAGGGGAAAGATGTGTGCAAGGAGCTACAGCTATGCTTACCAATAGGTAGGGTGAGCTTAGACGTCAAAGCTACGATGGGTTCCATCAACACTTTCCTGTTGGCTACTGTCACCTCATACAGTGGGACTGACGGTGATAAACAATACTCTATCATTTAATTCAGTCATCAATTAATTTACCCACATTCAAACACACTTGATAATCGCTCGGTCACACAATTTACGTTCATGCAGCCCAGCCACTGTTACACCCCAGTTTGTTCAAGTATAAAGAATATGCCAATGGTTTAAAACACTGTAGGAAGTAACATCCTAGTTGTGAGGGACACAAACATTTGAATACAACTGGCACCAGGCAAAGACTTGGGATGCATCATTGGTCCTGTTGGTGCACATTCAGACATACAACTCAAGGTATTTTTATTCTATTTCTTTACAGAATTCCATTTGTACAGCAGAATGACAGAAGAAGGTAATTGGGGAAGGTACCTTTCTCCTTTTGAGCCCAAGCGCACACCATGTCGTACTCTACTTGTCTCTCCTTGTACAAATCTGCTTTGTTACCAACAACTATTAAGGAAACCTGTGCACAGAGAGGAAATGGACGTACACAATTGATATGCAAGTGAGTATGCACATGGATGGTGTTGGAATAACCAATCATGACTAAAGAGGATATGGTCAGTGTGCATGGATAAAACTTCTTTGCTGGCATTGTAATTAAAATGATACATGCACAGGCATTGCAACTGGTCAGTTTCCATCCCTTGGCCATGTTACGCTAATATCCACTTAAACCCTGCACATCATGCCATTTACGAATTCCTGTTGAATATCAACTTCCCACAATCATTTGTTTGCTAAATGAAATCAGCAACCATGATGAGCTAGTGTTTACATTGCCCTTAGTGTTTTGTATACATTCTGATTACATCTAAACTTCCTGCTTATATCAAACAACTCGAGGGGAATTTCGGTAGTTTTAAAATGCTCTTCGGAAGCAGTAACATCCAGCACTGCCTATTAAAAGCACGTTGTAAATCAAAATGCCATAGCCTTGTACATGAATGTTTATATTTAGTTTTATTATGTGCTGATGAGCCAAATTAAATGTGCCACAACTATGTTATAAAGAACAGGTCTTTTAACTGCATTCTCTAATGGGATATTCTTAGGAAAGTAACATGAAAATACTTTTCAAGACTAAGGATACAGTTTCCTATTCTTCCAATTCTCATGTAAACAAAATGACATCCCTAACAGAAATAAAACACTACAGTAGTACTACAGATCACAAGACCAATCCCCCTGAAAGCCTCCAAAATTGTTTCTGCTTCATTTGTTTCAGAGGAAAAGAGAAATGCCACCATTTCAGAGCAATCTAAAACCCAAGAGAAATGTCAGCCATACCCAGAAGCGAATCCAAGCCACAGGAACTTGATGGGCAGAAATAGCTAACAATCTTTCTGGGGCCCAGGGAATGAAATAGCACTGGATAGGGATGCACATGAAAACAGCACCAAAGCTTTCAGTGGTAAATATGCATACATGTACTTTGACAGGTAAGGTACAATTCTCCACAGCAGAAACATACTCCATGTGGACAAACATTTTCCACACCCATACATAAAATTTGGGTTTCTAAATGCTGGGATTAAAATATCGTCTTTGAATACACTCCTTTTCTCCCTATATTCCTGCCTCCCTTTGGGAAGGGTCAAAAGGAGAGGTTTTTACATGTGTATGACAATGGTCCCTTATTGGGAACTCATTGTGTGCACGCATACAGGTTTATAAATGTTTACTGAAAGCTACACCGAGCAGTGTGTACCATCTCCACACCAGGAAGCCCCAATAGACCAATTTCCCCCAGCTTGTCCCTTCTCTGTTAGTGACGGGGGTGTCTTAAGTCAGGCTGGTTACACCAGTGCACTTGCCATTCTGCCCATGCCACATTACCCCCTTTTTGCAGACGGGTTCAGGGGTAGGAGATTAACATCCCTCCCGCATCTGCCCCAACAAGACAAAGAGAAAGAAAGGGCACAATTTTCCTTGCAGCAGAGGCTACACTTTGCTGCTTAACAAACGACTATGAAATGCATGCGCTGCGTCCCATTACTGCCAACAAAATGAAAACTCCCGATCAACATGGATCTTTTCAACCAATGAGGGGTGCTTCTGCTCAAGGTACGTGTAGGTGATGCATTATTACCACTCCACATAATACATGTGTCGTGTTATAAACATTCCCATCTTCTTACTTCTCTCTTGTCTTTCTCCTTGCTGATCTTATCAACCTCCTTCTTGAGGAGTTGCACCTGTTGGAAGGACTCTGAGCTGGTGATACTGTACACGAGAATGAAGCCCTGCATTGAAAAAAGCCCAAATGTGGTCAACTTTGACCATGTAGGCACCTTCTCAACTGGCTGTATCAACTTGGCTATTCTGAGCTTTTTTAGAACAAGAGGCCTAACAAATATGGACTTTTGGTAGTTTCTTGCTGGAAATTTGCACATTTTATACTTTAACATCCTTTTTCCACTGAGGAAATGCCACATAGCGATACTTGCTACTACAACTAGGCCATGGCACACAGCCAAGTTGGGGCTGGAGGATACCTGGGTACAATGCGCCGTCTTTGAGTGTCAGAGCCTGTTTAAGAATACATGTATGTAAAACCAACTTGAACCACTGAAGCATGACATCACTCGCTTAGCAAACAGAAATTGCCAGAACCTCTTTACAGGTGTAAAATCCTTTACACCTGGAAAGATCAAGGGAACAACTGTACTTGCAAGGGGCCTCAAGCCCCACACTTGGGCTCTACCTTCCTCCATCCCGCAAAATCTTCCAAAGGCTCCTGCTGGATTAAAGGAAGGTTTATATAAATGCAAGGCTCTGTCCAGCATCAGGTCCATGTTTGTCGGCCAGTGTCAGTAACTTACGTCTGCTATGGCAAAGTAGTGCTTAGGAAGTTCCGGGTTGGTCTTTGGATCCTGGAACAAGCAAACCAAAAATTCATTTGTAGATTTCTGCTTTTGTAGATTTGTACGTCAATGTCATTTTGATGTTCACCCTAGTGAAAGAGACACCAAAACCTATGCTGGCCGAAATCCACTAAAGGGTACATGTACATGTACCGGTACGTGTTTCTGATATAAACAGGTGCCTTGTGGGTGGGTGCGATGCTGAACACTCCCCCCCCCATGCCAAAATGACAAATGCCAAAGATCTTGTTAAAAAACTTACAAGGCCTCTGGTGTCGTAGAAGCGTACACGTTCCCTCACTCCTCTGTTGGACTCCACAGAAGCTACATAGATATCCTCTATCGTGGCAATGGAGTTTTGCTGTTCAGGGAGGGAACATCAAGAACAGTGTACTAACAGTGCTGTGCAGTTCTCTCATTCTTGCCATGCTGGCTTTTCAAAGAAAAATGCAGGACCGGTCAGTGGAGAAACACACCTGCTTCTTTGTGGTATTGGTAAGACAGGCTTCTTCAGTTGTTAAAAGGACCCATGGGGTAGCGTATTTACATGTAGTTCTTCACAACAGTCCAAAATGGGCTTCCAGAGCTACAGCTACATGTAGGTCTATTGTCGGCACATCTCTGTGTATTTCCAGTGGAGTCAAAACCTTGACATAAGTCTAGACAACAGATTCCAATGCAGCCTAAGTAAGACCATTCTGTGCATTTTCCCCCAAAGCTGAAATGCATTTATGACCATATTCTCAAGGTCCAGCTCTATAGCCATGTGGTAAATGGAACAAAAGCCTTAGTGCTGCATACTGCAGAAAATGCATCTTAGGCCGTGTCTTCCAGAGCTATGGCTACCCCGGTAGGTCTATTGTCTGCGCATCTCCACGCATTTCCATTGCAGCGAGGCCCTAGACCTAACTTAAGACAAGAGATTCAGATGCAGCCTTAGTTCCGGGATGTCTGACCAAAAGAGCCGCCTACATCCAAACATGCACATGATGCAAGAGGCCCAAGCCTGCAGTGTACAATGTACATGTANCATGGTGCCTGTCATGTGCATACTACATAATTATTCATGTTAATGTTTCTAGCCACACCATGTCCACCCTAGGCCTCTATCCCACGTCATGACCCCACACCCCACCCTTTTGCCTCAAGCATCTGTCTGATATTCCTGGCTGCAGGAATGGCAGCCGGCAGGTAGGCCTACGTAGGCCTACATAAACTTTCGGATTCGGGTTTTAAGTAGTACTAGTAGGCTTACATGTACACTTGACAGTAACTTGCCCATGTACATGTATTTTCATGTAGGTCTAAGTCAATCAACCGTGCTAGGCCCCTACTGACATACAGAACTCAAGAAGGTACATGTATGTGCATGTTCATGGACGTGTACCTCCATCTGTCCATGATCTGTCCATGCAAACACATGATCTATGACCCTAGCTTTGGCCTAGTACTAGGCCACCTCTAAGTGGCGAAAGGCTCAGAGTCGGAGATGCGTGTGCCACACTTACATTTCCTATCACATGATTTCCGAAGATAGCCTGCTCCAGCAATGCCGTCTTTCCGACGCAAGAGCTCCCACAGACAACAACTTTACAGGTACGCCCCATTTTTGTCCAGATTTCTTCCACAATTACTTTAACCAGTTCAAGAATAACAACCGAAATTAGTCCAAAACCTAACCCGAGGTAGGCCTAACGCTAGCCATTACATTGTTTATCAATACATACATATATTCAGACGAGGTCAGTCACGAGAGGGCGCACAACGATTCACTGTCAGCTAGAGCTGCGATTTTTCCGAAGTTTGATTGCAGCCATTTTTCAAGTGGCAACCCTCAATTTTTCAAACATAGTTTTTAGCCGTTCTGCACTCATATGAAAGCTCGAAGACCCAGGGAGTTGATCCTGGCAACAATTTACACAATCTCACCCTATTAGGGGCCAAACAATTTCCTTTTTCAAAAGATACTATTTTTTTGGAGGGGGGGTGACTTTTAATGCTAATGAACTCGCCAGAAATTCTCACTTGAATCAGTGGTCTGCACCCTGTAATGGCAACTTCCTGAATGAATTTATCACGGGATGACGACATCGCAAAAATTGACTGACGACACCCATGACACCTATACTTGGGATGATTTATCATGGGAGGAAGACATCGCAAAAACAGAGGAAAGAAGAAAGATAAGCTACGGGGCCCTGGAAGTGCCATTCGACTTGTTTAGGTCCTGACATTTTTTTCTCGGGATGGCAACATTATACAGGCAAGATAACAACATCTTCAGATAAAGTAACAAATACACGAGCATTGTACAATGGCTGAGTGCCCATTCTCATATATATGCAAATGGTTTGGCGCAGGGTCAGGCAGCATATGCAGAGGCCGCAGCACGGTGTCGGGGCGACTACGGAAGCGTATTGCTGTCAATACGAAACATTTATTTTATCTCATTTAAACAACTTAGTGTCTCGTAAGGACAAAGTTGTCTTGTTTAAACGACTTAGTTATCTCGTTTGAACGAGATACTAAGCTGTTTAAAAGAGATAGCTGTGTCGTTTAAATGAGATAACTGTCATTTAAACGAAAAAGCTGTGTCATTTAAACGAGATCATTTAAATGAGATAATTTCTTTTCGTATTGGCAGCAATATGCCTCCGTAGGGCGACCTTGCGTTTTGGGCGACAGTATGACTTGGAACGGATGAAGAACACGGCAACGGAGCTAAAGGCTTGAACTACTGTGACCAACGTTTATTCTTTGTTGAATTTAAATAAAAGAGGCAGTTGGAAGTCAGAACATTTTGCCTCAGTGAAGTGTGTTTTATTAGAGGATCATCCCCAGTTATTACGCTACGATGGACTTTACATTTGTTGCAGTGTTGAGTTTGAACTTGTGCATTTGTGTAAAATAGTTAACTCTGTTAAGTAGTATGTAAATTGACAGTTCCGGACCAATAAAACCCCTGGTAGGTATACGACCCTAAAGCCTCTAACAGCCAAAAAAGAAAAAGACCCTTGGGTAGGTATACGACCCTAAAACCGCGGAAAACTCACAAAAGTCGCTCATCGTGTCTTTCTTTACCAGGGTGTGGGTGAGCTGGCTAAACAACTCGCGAGAAGAATTGACAAAAAAAATAAACACTACATAAAAATAAATGGAAGATAAAACTACAAACGTGAATTGTTATTTTTGCAAAGACACGAGAAATTCGGTTGACTTGATAGATTCTTACGATTGCTCTCGTTGTTTTAATTCCAAAAGTTTACGCAAATGCATCGGTTGTAAAGAGTGTCGCAATTGTTACGAATGTCAAGATTGCGTCAGATGTAAGGACTGCCTCACCAGCGACGATTGCGGTAGATGTATAAATTGCACGGCTTGTTTTAATTCATACGACTGCAGAAATTCAATTGCCTTGGACAGTTGTGAGGACTGTTATGAATGTGCCCGTTGTATCGAATGTTTTGGTTGTACGTACTGCACCTGCTGCGTAAATTGTGACGAGTTGGAAGGAATGGATCACGTGGTTCTCGTAGATGGCAAGCATAAAAAGCTGAGGCACGCGCGACAAAACGAGTCATTAACCGATTCAGCTACTAAACTCGACGCGGACTTATACAAAATTGGATTAATTATTGAATACAACGCTGACGTCGAAATCCCGCCCGAATAAAAATGAAAAAAAATTTAGAAACATAATTATAAATAAGAACCATGTCAACTCAAGTATTTATCGTTTCAGACGACCACGAGCGTCTAAATGCCGACAACTGTGATCCCAATGTTACCTATGGCCCCTTTGACCCGAGTAAATTAATCATTTTAAATCCCGTGGTTAAAGAAGGGATCTACACTTCACCCATTTTTTTACCATCACAACGACCAAAACAAACGCCTGTTGATTATGACGACAGAACCCTGTTACGGTATAAACCCACTTCACAAATATGGCACTCGAGATAAAACGTCCGAAAATATCCAGGGCCGTCAAATTTGTTACCAGATACAATCACCTACGGCAAGCGTACTCGATCACAT